CCGTGGCATCACAGCTCACAGCAACCTCCAACTCCTGGGCTCAAGCGAGTCTCCTGCCTCAGCCTCCCAAGTAGCTGGGACCATAGGCGCCCGCCACAACACCTGGCTATTTTTTGGTTGCAGCCATCATTGTTGTTTTGGCAGGCCTGGGCTGGATTCGAACCCGCCACCTTAGGGGTATGTGGCTGGTGCCTTAGCCACTTGAGCCACAGGTGCCAAGCCAAGATACAAACTATTGAAGCTAAATCTCAAAAGATCTATAATAAGGAAAAATATTGAATTAGTCAAGTTTTACATTTTCCTTTAAAATGCTCAAGCCTAGATGGCTTCATTGGTAAATACCCTAATCTTTCGAAGAAGAATTATTACCAATTCTTCATAAACTCTTTCAAAAACAGAAGTAGTAGAAACACTTCTCAACTCATTCTATGAAGCCAGTATTACTCTGATATTCAAACTAGACAAAGCTATCACAAGAAAACTATAGACTAGTATCTCTGAATAAGACAGATGGTAAAAATCCAAAAAAAATGGTAGTAAGCCAAATCCAGCAACATATAAAAGGGATTATACACTATGACCAAGTCGGACTTAACCCAGGAATGCAAAATTGGTTTAACATCTGAAAATCAATTACTATACCTGCTGTAGCTTGCATGTGTCCCCTCAAGGTTTATATATTAGAAACTTAATCTCCAGTGCAACTGTACTGGGAATCAGGGCCTAATAAGAGATGATTAGTTCTTGAGGGCTCTGTCCTCATAAATGGATTAATGCCATTCTTACAGGAGTTGAATTCCTGATAAAAGAATAAGTTCAAAGCTGGGTGCAGTGACTCATGCCTGTGATCTCAGTGTTTTGGGAGGCTAAGACAAAAAGCTCATTTGAGGCCAGGAGTTCAAAACTAGCTTGGGCTATTTAACAAGATCCCCATCTCTATAGAAAAATGTAAAATTAGGTGACTTGGTGGTACATACCTGTAGTCACAGTTACTCAGGAGGCTGAGACAGGATTATCCCAGGAGTTTTAGGTTAGGGTGAGCTATGGTTGCACCATGGCATTCCAGCCCGAGCAACAGCGTGAGACCCTGCCTCTACATACACACACAGAATGACTTCAGAATGAATTTACCCCCTCTCCCCTCTACTTAACACTCACCTGCCTGTCCTCCTTTCACCATGGGATGACATAGCAAGAAGACCCTCACTAGATGCCAGCACTATGCTCTTGGACTTCCCAGATCCAGAACCATGAGCTAAGTAAATCTCTATTCGTTATAAATTATCCAGACTGGGTATGTAGTAGTGTGTTATATGAGCATAAAACAAACCAAGACAATAATAAATTATATCAACAGATTTAAAAGCAAAATCCACCTGATCATCTCAATAGATACAGAAAAAACATTGCACAAAATCCAACAGAAGGCAGTGAGGGAGAGTTTTTTGTTTTGTTTTGTTTTTTTGAGACAGAGTCTCAAGCTGTTGCCTTAGGTAGACTGCTGTGTTGTCATAGCTCACAGCAACCTCTAGCTCAGGCTCAAGCAATCCTCTTGTCTCAGTTTTTTCTATTTTTAGTGGAGACAGGGTCTTGCTTTTGCTCAGGTTGGCCTCAAACTCCTGAGTTCAAGCAATACATCCGCCATGGCCTCCCGGAGTGCTAGGATTACAGACATGAGCCACCACGCCTGGCCAAGAGTTAGTGTTTAATGGCTACAAACTTCCTGTTTAGGATGATGAACAAATTCTGAAAATGCAAAGAGGTAATGACTGCATGTGACTGTTCTGTGTATATGTGTGGGGGGTTTTTGTTTTGTTTCGTTTTTTCTGAGACAGAGCCTCAAGTTGTCACCCTGGGTAGCATGAGCTGGCATCACAGCTCACAGCAACCTCCAATTCCTGGGCTGAAGTGATTCTCCTGCCTCTGCCTCTCAAGTAGCTGGGACAACAGGTGCCTGCCACAAGGCCTAGCTATTTTTTGGTTGCAGCCATCATTGTTGTTTTTGGTGGGCTGGGCTGGATTCAAAGCTGGCAGCTCAGGTACATGTGGCTGGTGCCTTAGCTGCTTGAGCCATAGGCACCGAGCCTCTGTGTGTGTTCTTAATGTTCTTAGAAACACTGAGAGAGAGTATGTTTTGTTTTGTTTTTTTGAGACAGAGTCTTACTGTGTCATCCTTGGTAGAGTGCAGTGGTGTCACAGCTCACAACAACCTCAAACTCTTGGGCTTAAGCGATTCTCCTGCCTCCCCCTCCTCCCAAGTATTTGGGACTATAGGCAGCTGTCACAATGCCCAGCTATTTTGCAACCAATGATGGTTGTAGCCATCATTGTTGTTTGGTGGGCTAGGCTGGATTCAAACCTGCCAGCTCAGGTGTATGTGGCTGGCGCCTTAGCCACTTGAGCCACAGGTGCTGAGTCAAGAGTATGTTCTTGGCTCGGCGCCTATAGCTCAACCGGCTAAGGCGCCAGCCACATACACCTAAGGTGGTGGGTTCGAATCCCCAGCCCGGACCCGCCAAACAACAATGACGGCTGCAACCAAAAAATAGCCGGGCGTTGTGGCGGGCGCCTGTGGTCCCAGCTACTTGGGAGGCGGAGGCAGGAGACTCGCTTGAGCCCAGGAGTTGGAGGTTGCTGTGAGCTGTAATGCCACGGCACTCTGCCCAGGGGGACAGCTTGAGGCTCTGTCTCAAAAAAAAAAAAAAAAAAAAAAAAAAGAGTATGTTCTTAATGCCACCGAACTGTACACTTTAAAACAGTTAAATAACAAATTAGATTGTATGTTATATATATTTACAACAATAAAAAAAATTCACACCCTTTTATGATAAAAACACTCAACAAACTAGGGATAGGAGGAAACCTCCTCAACTTGATAAAGGACATCTACAAAAATGCCACAATTATCATACTTAATAGTGAAAATCTAACTGCTTTCCCACCTATAGTCAGGAAGAAGATGAGGATGTTCACTCTCACCATCTATTCAGCATTGTACTGGAGGTTCTAGTCAGGGTAATTAGGCAATAAAATGAAATACAAGCCTTCTATATGGAAAAGAAGAAGTAAAGCTAAATTTACAGATGATATGACCATAATATAGAAAATCTAAGAAGTCCACCAAAAATAATACTATTAGAGCTAAAATATAATTCAGCAAGGTTGCAGAATATAAGACCAATATACAAAACTCAATTGTATTTCTATACACTAGCAACGAATACTCTTTTTTTTTGAGAGAGAGTCTCACTTTGTTGCCCTCAGTAGAGTGCTGTCAAGTCATAGCTCAGAACAACTTCAAACTCTTAAGCTTAAGCAATTCTCTTGCCTCAGCCTTGCAAGTAGCTGGGACTACAGGTGCCTGCCACAACACCTGGCTATTTTTAGAGACAAGGTCTTGCTCTGGCTCAGGCTGATCTCAAACTTGTGAGCTCAGGCAATCCACCCATCTCAGCCTCCCAGAATTGAATACTCTGAAAAACAATTCTTTTTAAAAAAATTCCATTTACCAAAAAAAAAAAAAAAAAATTCCATTTACAACAGCATCAGAAAGAATAAAATATTTAGGAATAAATTTAACAAAAGAGCAAAAACTGGCCAGTTGTGGCTCACGCCTGTAAGCCTAGCACTCTGGGAAGCTGAGGCCAGAGGATCACCTGAGCTCAGGAATTCGAGACCAGCCCAAGCAACAGTGAGACCCTGTCTCTACTAAAAATAGAAAACAACTAGGCAGGTGTTATGGTGAGCACCTGTCGTCCCAGCTACTCAGAGGTCAAAGCAAAAGGACTGCTTAAGTGTTTGAGATTGCTGTGAGCTATGACACGATAGTGCTCTACTCAGAATGACAGAGTGAGACTCTCTCTCTCAAAAAAAAAAATCTCCTTTAATCTAGAGGTAGCATAAGTGAGTCTATTCTTTTCACAGAAAGATAAACTAGAATAAAGTTCTCATATATAGCCTCCCTTGTAAACTGAATTTGAGAGAATTTCCAGGGCGGCACCTGTGGCTCAAAAGGGTAGGACGCCAGCCCCATATACTGGAGGTGGGTTCTTACCCAGCCCTGGCCAAAAAAAAAGACCACTGTTGGGCAGTGCCTGTGGCTCAAAGGAGTAGGGTGCCGGCCCCATATACTGGAGGTGATGGGTTCAAACCCAGCCCCAGCCAAAAATTGCTAAAAAGAAAAAAAAAAAAGGAGAGAATTTCCAATCCAATTTTACCATCATCAAGCTTCGCTTACTACTGGGAAGTGATCTAGACATTTGGAAGAACCTAACTAACTATATGTGCCACTATTATAAATACATTCCTTCTACAACACTCCTTAATAACACTACCGAATAAAAATAAAGGAATCTGGCTGGGCGCGGTGGCTCACACCTATAATCCTAGCACTCTGACAGATTGAGGCAGGTCAACTGCCTGAGCTCAGGAGTTACAGATCAGCCTGAGCAAGAGTGAGACCCTGTCTCTAAAAATAGCCAGGCATTATGGTGGGTGCCTATAATCCCAACTACTTGGGAGGCTGAGGTAAGAGGATCACTTGAGCTCAAGAATTTGAGGAGGGCAACAAAATGAGACTCTGTCTCATAAAAAAAAATGAAAAAAAAAATAAAGGCAATCTGTATCAAGATATATAATTGCTCAAATATTTATTAATCGTAAGGATTATACATTAAATTCAGATGCATGCAATAACATAAAAAAAGTTTTTTTTCAACAAGTCACAAGATCCTGATTCTTACCATGTAAGGATCCACAGAAAGATAAAGAGTTCTAACTCGTACTTGTCCTTCATTGATATTATCTGATAAAGTGACTTCTTCCATTCGGAAATTCTCTGCCACTGGATTACCATTTTTTCCTAAAATAGGAGGAAGAAATATAAAGTCCAAAAGGCACTTTCTTGTAAAATTATTATTGTTTAAAAGGTCACAATAGGATTCACAGCACCTCCTTTTAAAACAGTTATGACTAAATCTATATTGTTTTATAATTTCTCTGCAAACCATAGAAATGACTCAGCATAAATGTCATCAAATACTTTTGATGGCTCTTGATTCTTTTTAATAAGTTCTTTTGGAATACTACTGTCAACTTCAAATTTTCCTTTTTAAAATGATTACAGGTAAATCACCTCATCTGTTTTAAAATTATAGAAGGAATTCAAACAGTGGAAAAATCACACCTAGCTCTTTGTTAATTACGAAAATTAAAATTTACTTGTAGCAGAAATACCACACAAATACCTAAAAAGTTAGGTAAATTTTCCTTCTTCATTTTAAGAATCAAAAGAAACTTAATGAACATATTATTTTAAAAAAAGGAAAATCTGTCCAATTAGGAAATTAAAAAAAATCTGAGGTATAAGAAAAATCTGTAAGCAGGAAAAGTAACCACTGAAAGTATACAGGCAGTCCTTAGGTTACAAACAAAAAAGGCTCTGCAGATTTGTTCTTAAGTTGCCATTTGTATTTAAGTTGGAACAGGTACATTTACCTATAACCTGCAATAGCCTCTGTTCATGTGAGTCATACATCAGTCAGATATTTGTAACTTGGGGACTGCCACATGTACTCATCTTCAGTTATGTTTAATATAACCAAACTTAACTATTCAAACAATCATTCAAGACTTAATTCAATTGCTAAAGATTGTAAAGTTCTTAATGTAACTGTTCACTTTACTAAAACTGAGCTCAGAAAAGTTAAGTGATTGTCCGGCAAAACCAAGACCCAAAAGTTTCTACGATGCAGGTTATGTGTGAAGAATGACATAAGTCAGTATGTTTCACACAAAAAAGAAAAGCAAATTTTAAGAAACAAGAATACATAAAAAGCCACACATATTTGTAATATACTATCTCAAATGTTATGATTCCAAAAACCTTATCTCATCAGCAAATGGCCTTGATAAGTTATCATTTGAAAAACTGAGTGTTACATTGTTTAAAGAATTTTTTCTCTTTCCTAGTGTTAATATATTACTACTTTAATTTACCACACTGACATTAATCCATTTGCATTATAATTTTCAAAGACATAACTGTTCATTCATCACAGAAAATACATACCAGGTCGGGAATTCAATACCACTCTTTGTACAATCATCACTCTGTGCAGTGGTCTCACAAGATTTCTGTATAAAATAATAATATTTCTATAAATAGAAATATTTTTAAATCACAGGAAAAATTTGACGTACTCAACAATTTAAAAATAAAAAAAGAGGACCGGGCACAGTGACTCACGACTGTAATCTCAGCACTCTGGGAGGCCAAGGCGGGTGGATTGCCTGAGCTCACAGGTCCAAGACCAGCCTGAGCCAGAGTGAGACTCCACCTCTAAAAATAGCCAGGGGTTGTGGCAGATGCCTCCCAGCTACTGGGGAGGCTGAGACAAGAGAATTGCTTGGGCCCAAGAGTCTGAGGTTGTTGTGAGCTATGACGCCATAGCACTCTACTGAGGGGGACAAAGTAAGACTCTTGTCTCTAAATAAATAAATAAAAATAAAATAAAAAAGAATCCCATTTGTTTCTGAATGGAGGAAATATAACATTTAGGATCAAAAAAAGATCTTGTTAGAGTTGCCTCCTAAAGCAAACATACGAAGAAAGACTAAATCTATTCTGAATTCATAGCCAAGAGGAACAAATTTATTGGAGACTGAGTGAGGTAAAATGTTTTGGCCTCAGATAATTCAAGCATATTCATCTTCACACCATCATGATTAAGCCTCCTCCTGCTATGGCTTGATTAAATGAAACCAACCTGGTGGCAAAATAAAAACATCAACTGTTTACTCTGGGAGGCCGAGGCAGGTGAATGGCTTGAGCTCAGGAGTCGAGACCAACTTGAGCAAGAGCAAGGTCCCATCTCTAAAAAATAGCCAGGTGTGGCTCGGTGCCTGTGGCTCAAGTGGCTAAGGCGCCAGCCACATATACCTAAGGTGGTGGGTTTGAATCCAGTCTGGGCCTGCCAAAAAACAATGATGGCTGCAACCAAAAAATAGCCGGGCATTGTGGTGGGCGCCTGTGGTCCCAGGTACTTGGGAGGCAGAGGCAGGAGACTCGCTTGAGCCCAGGAGTTGGAGGTTGCTGTGAGCTGTGATGCTACGGCACTCTACCCTGGGGGATAGCTTGAGGCTCTGTCTCAAAAAAAAAAAAAATAGCCGGGTGTTATGGCAGGTGCCTATAGTCCCAGCTACTCAGGAGGCTGAGGCAAAAGGATCACTTGAACCCAAGAGTTTGAGATTGCTGTGAGCTATGACCCCACGGTACTCTACCAAGGGTAACAAAGTGAGACTGTCTTAAAAAAAAAAGCAAAAAACCCCAACTGTTTTAACTGAGATACATCCAAATTTTCAAAGGTTCTTTTATTCACTTACAAAAATAGAAATGACACATGTAATCCTAGCACTCAGGGAGGCCAAGGCAGGAGGATAGCTTGAGTTTAGGAGTTGGAGACCAGCCTGAACAGTGAGATCCTGTCTCTACTACAAGCAGAAAATATTAGATGGACGTTGTGGTGGATGTCTCTAGTCTCATCTACTCAGGAGGCTGAGGCAGGAGAATTGCTTAAACCCAGGGGTTTGAGATTGCTGTGAGCTAGGGTGATACCACGGCACTCACTCAGAGTGAGACTCTGTCTCAAAGAAAAAAGAAAGAAAGAAATTCCTTAAGTTTTACTGACTACAAAAGCAATAAATTAAAGGTATTTTTAAATCCTCATCTTTAGGAAATTCTATAACATAAGGATTGGTTTATTCTGGGTTTACAATTGAGCCACTAAAAGAACCAAAGTGAAGTTCCCGTCAAAAATGAGAAAATAAATCTGTTGTGAGTGTGCTTTATACAATCAGGCATCACCTGATGAGGATACATTCTGAGAATGTGTCAGGCGATTTCTTTGTATATGTATCATAAAAGGTACTTACACAAACCTATGAGGGTATTTATATGGGAGAGCCTATTGTCCCTATATGGGATGTTACTGTGTTGAATCCTATAGGCAATTGGAACACAATGGTAAGTATTTGTGCATCTAAATATAAACAAAAAACTTATCTAAACATAAAAAGGTATATAGTAGGGCTACAGTAGGGTGTGGTGGCTCACGCCTGTAATCCTAGCACTCTGGGAGGCCAAGATGGGTGGATCACTTGAGCTCAGGAGTTCTTGAGACCAGCCTAAGCAAGAGTGAGACCCCATCTCTAACAATAGCAGGGCATTACGGTGGGTGCCTATAGTCTCAGCTACTCAGGAGGATGAGGCAAGAAGATCAATTGAGCCCAGGAGTTTGAGGTTGCTGGGAGCTGTGATGCCACAGCAGTCTACCAAGGTCAAAAGTGAGACTCGGGTATCTCAAAAAAAAGTTATAGTAAAAATATGGTATAAAAGATAAAAAATGGTACATCTGAATAGGGCACTTACCATGAATAGAGCTTATAGGACAAGCGGTTACTCTGGATGAGTCAGTAAGCAGTGAGTAAACATGACATTACTATATAGTACTGCAGACTTTATAAACACTACCCACGCAGGCTACACTAAACGTATTTTAAAAATTAAGTGGTTGTATTATAATGGCTATCACATCACTAGGCAAGAAGAGATTTCTTTTTTTTTTTTTTTTTTTGAGACAGAGCCTCAAGCTGTCCCCCTGGGTAGAGTGCCGTGGCATTACAGCTCACAGCAACCTCCAACTCCTGGGCTCAAGCGAGTCTCCTGCCTCAGCCTCCCAAGTAGCTGGGACCACAGGCGCCCGCCACAACACCCGGCTATTTTTTGGTTGCAGCCGTCATTGTTGTTTGGCGGGTCCGGGCTGGGGATTCGAACCCGCCACCTTAGGTGTACGTGGCTGGCGCCTTAGCCGGTTGAGCTACAGGCGCCGAGCCGAGATTTCAGTTCTATTATAATCTTATGGGACCACTGACATTATACTTGGGCCATCATTGACTGAACTATCATCATAGGGCACATGACTGTCTTTATAATCTTACTAGTTATAACAAAACGGCAAGTTTCCCTCAATATCCATTTTCTTCTTCTGGACATGATGGTGCCCAGCTAAAAGACTACATTTTCTAGCTTCCCTTTAAAGCAAATTCCAGACATTCTCTATCACCAAAAAATCCTTCAATTAGGCATTTCTGATGTTTTAAACATAAACATTATGATATTATTATGCCTAACAGAATAGTACGTGTAATTCCTTAACATCATTTAGTGCCTAGCATGTATTCAAATTTCCTAATAGCCTAAAAGATGTCTTTTTATAGCTGGTTTCATTAGAATCAGGATTCAAGGTTCACATACTACATTTTGAGTCTCCCTCCCTTTTTATTTCCTGCCATTGATTTATTTCTTCATTCCTTTGTCTGTAGAACGTCCTCTGATTGCTTCCTCAAGGTTTACCTCTTCCTCAACAAGATTTACCTTGTTCTTCTATCTCCCTCCCTTACCAGTGATTTATGATTAGATCTGAGGTTGCATTAGATTCAGGTTTGATTTTTCAGGCAGGAAACTTTAAAGCTGGTGCTACATGCATCCTATTTCATCACACCAAGAAGTCATGGTATCTTGTAGGACCACACACATTTTAATAAGGAAATTTTCTATTAAATTATTAATGTGTGGTAAATTATATGAAGATTAAAATGCAAAGTTTTTCCAAATTCCAAACTGTCCTTAAGTGGTTATTAATAGCAGCATGATGGATAAATTTTTAATCAAAGGAATCTTTCCAAATGAAATTTCCTATCTGCCTTCCTTTCTAATTACTTTCTTTCTTTTTTTTTCAGAAACAGTCTCACACTGTTTCCCAGGCTAGAGTGCTATAGTGCAATCACAGTTAACTGTAATTTTGAACTCTTGGCCTCTAACAACCCTCCCACCTCAGCCTCCCAAAGGACTGGGATTACAGGTATAAACCACTGTACTCAGACTTCTAATTTCAATGGTATAATTTATTTCTTTAAAAATACTGATTATTGGCTCGGTGCCTGTGGCTCAAGTGGCTAAGGCGCCAGCCACATACACCTAAGGTGGTGGGTTCGAATCTAGCCCGGGCCTGCCAAACAACAATGATGGCTGCAACCAAAAAATAGCCAGGCGTTGTGGCGGGCATCTGTGGTCCCAGCTACTTGGGAGGCAGAGGCAGAGGACTCTCTTGAGCCCAAGAGTTGGAGGTTGCTATGAGCTGTGATGCCACAGTACTCTACCCAGGGGAATAGCTTGAGGCTCTGTCTCAAAAAAAAAAAAAGAATGCTGATTATCAGCACAAAAAGTACACTATTTTTTGAGACAGTCTCACTTTGTCACCCTCAGTTGAGTGCCACATTATCTTAGCTCACAGCAACCTCAAACTCTTGGGTTGAAGTGATTCTCTTATCTCAGACTCCCACATAGCTGGGATTAGAGGTGCCAGCCACAACACTTGGCTATTTTTAGAGATGGGGGTCTCACTCTGGCTCAGGCAATCCACGGCCTGGCCTCCCAGAGTGCTAGAATTATAGGCGTGAGCCACAGAAAGTACACTATTAAAGTACTATCCATTTATTCAGTGAGAAAGATTTTAAGAGTCACACATCACAATTGACTAACATAGGATAATTTCACAATATACCTTAATAATGTAAACTTTATAAACACAACACTCCAAGGCTACACTACTTTTTTCTTTTCTTTTTTGAGACAGAGTCTCACTTTGTTGCCCTGGGTAGAGTGCATTGGCATGATAGTTTATAGCAACCTCAAATTCTTGGGCTCAAGAGCTACTCTTCCCTTAGCCTCCAGAGTAGCTGGGACTACAGGCTCCAGCCATCATGCTCACCTAATTTTTCTATTGTTGGTAGAGACAGGCTCTTGGTCATGCTCAGGCTGGTCTTAAACTCCTAAGCTCAAATAATCCTCCTGCCTTGGGCTCCCAGAGTCCTAGAATTACAGGCATGAGCCACCACACCCCTGCCTACACTAAATTTATTTTATTTATTTATTTATTTTAAGACAGAGCCTGAAGCTGTCACCCTGGGTAGAATGCCATAGCATCACAGCTCACAGCAACCTCCAACTCCTGGGCTCAAGCGAGTCTCCTGCCTCTGCCTCCCAAGTAGCTGGGACTACAAGGCACCTGCCACAATGCCTGGCTATTTTTTGGTTGCAGCCGTCATTGTTCTTTGGCAGCCCAGGCTGGATTTGAACCCGCCAGCTCAGGGGTACATGGCTGGTGCCTTAGCCACTTGAGCCACAGGCACCAACCCCACTAAATTTATTTTTAAAAAAGTAATTAAGCTATGAGATTATGATGTCATCACTAGCCAAAAGGAATGTTTCAGTTACATTATCTTATAGATATTTCATATTCAGTCCATCAAATACTGCTTATCAGTATGAAAAGCACACTATTAAAGTACAAACAATGCATTAAAAATATAAAGACCTGATTTAATAAGAGATAACCAAGTTCAAGATCCTGGAAGGCAGGAGGAGTGTGTTAAATTCATCCGGGGTGTGGGAAAAAAATGCAGCAAATCATGCAGAGGGTACCAAAAATTGTATATATATTTTAAGAAAGGAAAAAACTGTATTAAAAATTATAATACTCAGCTCAGCACTTGTGGCTCAAGTGGCTAAGGCGCCAGCCACATACACCTAAGGTGGTGGGTTCAAATCCAGCCCGGACCTGCCAAACAATGACGGCTGCAACCAAAAAATAGCCGGGCGTTGTGGCGG